ACGCGTAATAAGAACATGACCGTCACTTTGGAATGTGTAGAAGTGGCAACAAAATAATTTAAGTACTAATTATATAAGCCGGACAGTTCAAATTAATTTACACTACTTGTTTTTTATAGGAAACAAGCTGACGAAAATTGGCAATCAATGCCAATATAGATATAAACAGCACTACAGACATGATGTCATCATGTAGCACCATTTCTGATATTTAAAATCTCATGCATATAAATCTTGTAATATTTGTAAATCAAACTCCTTGATGGCTTAAGCAAGTGGAACAGAAGTAAGTACCCAAGTACCTAGTACAAAACTTTGTGACCAAAAAACCCAACTTTGTACGAAGCTATATATATATATATATCTTTTTTATTGGGGGGTTTGGGCTATTGTCAGCTGCTTGGACCGGTAGCACTGCTACCTACATAGATATATTCTATTATTATGCTCGGCCTTTTTCAGAGTTCGCTACCTAGACTCCTAGGGACAAGAATTGAAGTATATTCTTAGTAGCGATGGAGTCTGTAATAGATCTACATGAATAAAAATATTTAGATATTATTCCATTTTTAAAATAGTCATAAATTGTAATTTAAAAATATTACACTAAAACTATCGACAATGCTCTACTTCCGAACAGTTGATTAAAAAAATTCTTAAATAGATTATAGGTACATTACATTAGAGAAGACGTATTCTTCATTAAGTATTTAATGTTTTCTTTAGACTTAACATAGCTATATGAATAAAAATATTTAGATATTATTCCATTTTTTGATATATTAAAAAAAATTAGATTACTACATTAGAGAAGACGTATTCTTCGTTTTCTTTAGTCTATATGTTGATATATTAAATAACATAGAGAAAGTACGTCGAAATTCCTACTGCCAGTTTTACTTCAAACAAAATACACAACAAGATAAATTACCCCAAGTGTTTGCCTCATCACAATTTTCCAATATGTAAGGAAGATAGTATTTTAATAATTTATATTTTTATATATCTATACCATCTTTAGAGATATAAATGAGACATCACACAGGCCCATCAGTCAGCACAGCGAATGTCAGCACTAATAGAATATTAACACTGCGCGTGGCTGAGTACAGCCACAGCATAATGAAAAAATAATTTAACATGATTTATAGCTTACTCAGGCCCTCGCAAATTGCCGACAGTTTGGGACGTTTAACTTAAGTACGGGCTGCGTGCGCGCACTTGTATGATGATTTAAAAAAAAGAACGAAACAAATTCGGAATTCGAATAATTTAGTTTAAGGGTATTTGGACTGATCACAATAAATACAGGTTGATACGCAAATAAGGTATCGGTTGTATACGATGTAACCTTAACTGGTATTTAATTGGTACTCGATACCCGGTATCATGAGTATGGTATCACATTATTACTGTACCACAGTTTATGTTATTTACCTTGATGAGCAAAATTGTGATCGCTTTATTTACCCGTCCATATATGTTTCATTATCAGATCAAATAAAGAAATTAGTGCATTAAACGGGTACACGTCTAAATGACTCTTCTTATTTGCAATCGATATTAAATCATCATCATCATATTATTTAATTTATAAATATGTAATATTTACACTATTAATACAGTAGTACATTTGACGCCCTCGGTGGTCTAGACCACTAGCGGTTTAGCACACCGCCTTATTTTTCAATGGTCACGGGTTCTATTCCTCGCACGATACGGATATATGTATTTATAAGTATGATTGTTTGTATCGGTCTGGGTATATTATGTATGTATTTACAAAAAAATGTATTATATCAGTTATCTAGTACTCATAACACAAACTCTGTTTAACTTGGGACTAGATAGCGCTGTATGAATTGTCCTGATATATTATTATATTTTACTCATTATTTACTAGTATTACATATGTACATATATAGACATTTTATTGTAGTGCAGCAACATTGACAAGGTACAGGAGTGTGGTACTATTACACATTTTTTTGTTAACGCGTTGTATAGTAATATAGTGTAATAATTGGTATATATAATATAGTTAAATAGTCTATTAGACTAGATGTATGCAGCTAGCAAAGTTCGCAATTAAATAGTTTGTTGTTACGAATTCATATTTTTATTATTCTAATTTAGATTCTATAGTATACCTTAACGACTGTTATATCAAATGGGGTAGTCGGAAACTTTATCAACTGATGACGTTTTGATGAATTTGACACATTTTATATAGGCATCCCACATGACAATCGGCAAGTCTACCGCAACCTCTCGTATTAGTTTCGTTTGTTAGAACTGTCTCTATTACCCAAAAGTCTGAATTATAAATTAATACATATAGTTTTGATGACTGACAGCGAAACCTCATTCACGGCTTATAAATTTAAGTCAGGATAGTAAACCAATAGACCACCACGCTCCCAATTTTCAAATTTACAATCTATTAATTATACAGACAAACAAAAACTGCAAACACAACGCTGTCAAAGCACTGCAGTGTCCCAAGAACAAGATATCGAACCGTCTTAAATGCTATTGACAACTTGAGATTCAAAAGAAACGACTACCTTCACTCTGAACTGTACCTTATACCATTATAATAGGAAATAAAATTAATTACTAACTAAATAAGAAACCTGTCCCTTAATAAATTTCTTGATGAGATTTGTTATTCCCACGCGATCGGCAGTAATGCAAATAATAAAGCATTAGTCAATCAATTATTTGACTCCCGTTGTTTGATATAGAGATATTAAAGGCTTCATTTCGAAATTCATTTTTATTGTTTGTATTATTAAGTACTAGCTGCGCCTGCGGTTTCACCCGCATGAAATTTATAGCCTATACATCTAGTGTATAATCTATCTTATTGTAAAGTTTCATCAAAATCCGTTCAATAGTTTTTGCGTGAAAAACTAACAAACATCCATCCATACTCACAAACTTTCGCGTTTATAATATTAATAGGATAGGTTATCTGTTAAATAGAACCACCTGGTTTATTATGTTACGCATTATTACGTACATTTATTCTCAGACTAAAATGGATTTTGTTGCAAAATAGATTGGATTATGTTTTTATACGGTCGTTTCTATCATAGGACAGTTTGTCAGTACCTAATATAAATATATACACAAACTTTTTGTTTTTGTCATTGGTCCTATTCCAACTCCCAAAGTCTTTACAAACACTAGCCTGCGGCGCTCTCAATTAAAATATTTTTTAATTTATTTAGTCATAGACATTAATGAAATATCAGTATTACAAAACAACAACAATAACAACAACACATGTGAAAGTTATAATGCTATAAAAACAATTAAACAAATATCAAACACGCTTGCGGTCGTGTACTGAAATAGGGGACACTTTGTCCCAACCACGTCCCAAGGCAAATCGTTCTGAATCCACAGTAATTGCTTGCTGACCGCGCGGTACTCGGTCATAACTCGCTGTAGCCATACTAACCCTTATTTAGTGGTCAAATTGACCACCACACTAGTACAATGTAGAGTTGAAACACATTGAAATAGATATTAAAATAGAATTGATATCTTATATATATTCTTTATTGCACTTAAGTACATTTTTAGGTATATAATATATAATATTACATACTATTAATTATAATTAATTATTATAATTGATTAATATTTACAAAGGAGGGCTTATCTCTAAAAGATAATTATTTTAGTTACAACCATTCATAATTGTTTTAACTTTGAACCTATTGGAAGAAAAATAAACATTAAATTTTATCAAACTCTAGTAATAACTATTTTGGGTTCGCATTGGTAACGTCCACCAGCCTTCTGTAACTTCCATGGACTGACAACACTTTTATTATATATGTATAATTACAGTAAACCCAATAGCGATGCAGAAACTGAGCTGTCCAGACCGGATCACAAACAAATCCTGGCCCCTTACAAATATTTGCATTACGATTAATAGATACCGTGGTCAACTCGTGTCCGATATAATCCGAAATCCGGATACGGCTTACATCCGAACATATTTTAGTAAAACATCATCGTTTGCTATTCAAATATAGACTTTATAGGAGTGAACTTTTAGTTTAGAACTAATTGTTGGCGCACTACACTTGAATCAACATGCTATCAGTCCGACCCGGTTGTAGTCCCGCTTATACCGATCTCTAGTACAACTTAAGTGATCAACTACACATAAAGTGTCCATAAAACTGTTATAGTTTTTAAAAATATAATTACTTATAATTCAGTTTAATGAAAGTAAAACTCTTACAAATTTGGAATAAGATATTTAATTTATCTCCACCACGGAACACTAATAATGTATTAGTATTAATGTTTCAACTTCAATACTAATTGTATGCATTATTTATAAGAGTATTCAGAATAAATGCCCTCACTTGACATTGCAAATTGAACAATTATATGGGAAACCTAGACAGCAGATTTTTGTTATGCAGAGCACAACAAAAATCTGGAAATTTTGCCAAACTGAATAGGAAACGCCATTACACATACTATGTGGGTATAGCCCACTCATGCATAAACGAAATATGTCCTTTGGAAAGTTTACACTCTATGCTGAGGAGAAAAACCATTGTTCCTAAGAATATCATTCCATTCTTGTCCCTGGCGTGTTTAGGTACCGAACTCTGAAAAAGGGCGAGCACAATAGCTCTATCCTGTTCGCAGTGCTACAGGTCGAAGCACCTGACAATAGCCCAAACCCTCAAATAAGAAATATAAAAAAAAGAATAAATATAAAGGTTATGATATGAATCGCACTAGTGGTAAAGAAGAAAATAAATAAAAATATCTCCCTATAATAGTTACAATATATCAAGTATACTCAACAACGGAGTAACAATATGCTAATATGCCTCTTATCCGGGGAACTGACGCCCGGGAAAGTGACTTTATGGTTTTGGATGATGATACGATTATTAAAAATAAAGTGTATTTATTTTAAAATATTAATTACAATATTTAGATGTAAATCACATTACCTATCAGACCAGCAAAGCGCCTCGTCCCGATATCTGAAAATAAAAATAGATATCTTAAAATTATAATATTTAGTTAAGTTACTACTTAATACAATCGCCTCAACATTATCGTGTTTGAGTAATTGGAATGGCATACAAGCTGTCTGTATGCCATTCTACACACAAGCTGTCACAAGCTGTCCACCTGATAGTAAGTGATAACCGTCGCCTATATACTTGAACAGCACTACGGATACCACGATATCATGTAATTCCTTTAGCACCCATATCTACCTATTCGAAGCACTGTAGCATCATGTGCTTATGCTTGTTTGCCACCTTCGTTGTATAAAATACTATATAATTTATCTAACAGGGCATATGTTAGGAAATACAACTTAAAAATCAAGTATGGCGTATTTCTGCTACCACTGAAATGTGAGAGATTAACTATATTAATATGGATGATATTAATATAGTTAATCTTTTGCTGTTACTAATTTTAGATTCATTTTGTTATGTGTTTGTTTTAAACGAGTGATCACTCAATTAATTCAGATATGAACTCAGATCAATTGCATAGTCGGATGGACATGTATTTAACGGAAGTCAAAATGTTAAAATAATATAAACTATTCAATTTACATTTCCACACCATTCGAAATTTAAAATAGAATTTTAATGAAAAAAATCTTTTATTATTTTTTAATCTATACATATAAATAAAATTGGAGTGTCTGTTTCTAATATTGAAATAATGGTTTTTTACTACATGCATATGAATATAAATACGGTACATACACCAAAATAACATTTTTTACCATTTTTGTCTGTCTGTCTGGTTGTTCCGGCTAATATCTGAAATATCTGGACCGATTTGAACGGGAATTTTTTTGGCATGTAGCTGATATAATAAGGAGTAACTTTTGCTAGTAATTAATATAAGACTAATACAGTCAACTGTATCCGAGACATTTTTGATGCCAACAAATCACGTTTCAAACTATATATATATATATATATGTACATCTATATAGTAACGTGTTAAACAAATAAAAGAACGCCATTGAATCTATTCGCAACCTGAACCATTTTCTGAGTCTACGACCTCCCAGGCATTGGATGAATAATTCACAAAGCACTAAGTATAGGCTGCGGCAGTGGTTCTCAAAGTTCTTAAATAGCGACATCGACAGACGATTATAGTATATGATATACTGATGAAAGACGACGGGTTAATTAAGAACACTAATTTAGTATTTATTACAACAAACAATGTTTTATTATTAGCGTAGATCAAGAGTTCTGGAGGATTCAGTACTTATTTCACCGAAACAATTTAAAAATAAGTTAATTTGCTGTAATAGTTGAGACAGACTTACGCAAACCACTTTTCTTAAAGTCGAGATCTTTAAAGATACAGTTAGACAAGTAAATAATATTTCGATATTTTAAAAATCCACAACATCCCTAAAGTTATATACACAAGTATGTTTTGATAATTTGATCATTAAACAGCTATAAACTAGTCAATATGACAACCAATATTATTCATTAATGTAGGATTAAAATAATTATTTGTTCAAGTTTAAATATAGAATGCTAGCTATGTACAAATTAACAGTTATTCTATAGTCGACATCACAGAAGACCGAAGAGCTGGCAGCTAGCTTGGAGAATTAGTCTAGCAATTCAAAGGGAGAATGCTGCCAATATCTTCGGAACCTTGCCTAAAGGGACTATTTTTAATAATATATTTTACTTACTATATTATATTTTTTAATTTTAATTTTAGGTTTTTTTGATATAGAATTACGTTATGTATATATATCATATTTATTTAATGTTAGTCATAGACACCTATATAAGTAAACATTGTAAATAAACACAATTTCTATAGAATTATATACTTTGAGAAGCACTGGCCTATGATATTAATAAATAGTGGTTTTCACTTGTGCTATCGTTTTTATTGGATTTTCAACTTTATCATAGAGACCATTAAGATTTTTTCAAACAGGATTTTTACCATATGTTTCTATTGGTTATTGCATGGCATCTGAATGAAAAACAACTAGATAATGATTGATTAACTGATCGTAGAATCTAAACAGTAACAGAGAACTCATAAAACCATACAATCATATCAGGCCTTATCAAGTAAAACGTGGTAAGTCAATTAGTATTCTTTATGGCCATTTCTTTTTTTGTTTACAGCTTACTAAGTACCTAAATAATAAAGCCGCGCACATAATGCATAATGCACAAAATGCACACACTAGACATTTAATTTTTTTTTAATGAATTCTAAATGAACTTATACAATAATGTGTATATATATATATATTTCAAACTATTTTTATAAATATGTCTGTAACTCAATCTCGTCTATTTCAGCCTTCAAGCAGCTTGCTTTGCAAGTTTGGTTTTCTAATTACAGGATTCGGAGGTATAAACATACTTCTGCGGTTTGATGAGAGTTATCAAGCACGCTGTATGATAACGTAATGTCCGTGGTAAATATAATAAGTAAGTATATAAACAACAGTTGTCACTTATCATCAAGTCGAACGTCACAAACTTTATTCCGTGACGAAATAATATTAAAAATGGCTTAATTGTTTACGAACGTTACGTAACTTAACAAAATAACTACTTTGCAGATTCGTTTAAAAAGTCAAAAATGAAATATTTGAAATAAGAATAGAGGCTTGTGCGTTCCTTGAAAAAAAATACCTAGAACCAAATAAAGAATAGAACCAGAAACAAATAAACAGACGCTCGCGCAATTTTTAATGTTTTATAATAAAAAAATTAATTCTAGGCAGTACTTTCTTTTTCCTCTAGTGGCTTCGGCAATTTGTATTGCCTTTAACCATTGGAGTATTTTATAGGATTTATTGATTTAAATTCAAAATGTTGACTAAATATAGTGAGTATTAAATTAAGTAATTAATAGTAATTTTAATTTCCTCTAATAAAAAAGTTAAACTCTTTCTAATAATTACAGAATTTATATATCATAATTCAAATTTTGGTGCAAGAATATTGAGTAGATTGGCAATTTTAATTATTTTTAATAAAAAAGCAAACTTGCCAGTAGGATTCAGGTTTACATACTGGGATTTGGACGCGTCTATCAATTCAAGTTTTGAAACAAGAACAGTAAATAGAATAGAATAGAATAAAATAGAAAATCATTTATTCAAATAAACTTAATTTAAGCACTTTTGAATAGACAACATTTTTTTTAAATCTATCGCTTATTCGGAAAGCTGTCTCATCACAAGAAGAATAAGCAAGAAACTTGTAAGTTCACATTTTACAAGTTGAAACGCGTGAATACAAACTACCAACCAGCACTAATTCATTTAGACTCAAATATAAAAACACAATAAGATTAAATCAGTCGTAGTGAGCAGACCAGTCCCTACAAGCAGCACTCGTTCACGAGTATGACGGATGAGCCAGCTATCACTGCGCTCGACCATATTTTAGGGAGCCCAATGACCCGGCCCACCACGCCGCCACATGTCACATTTTAGTGAGCATGACTACTAATTTCACTCGACCTCGTCATAGCTACTTATTTAAATTTATTATATGGTAGTTACAATATTCGCACTTTACATAAGGATGCATGCGGCAATCACTACAAAAGCCGCTACGCTATCATATTTCAAGAAAGCAGTATGAAAAACAAATTATAACGTTGTCCACAAAAAAAAATATTCTTGCTATCCTATAATAGGCTTCTTTACATAGTATTTGTTTAATATAAATTTTGAATTGATATATGTTTAATTGATAAATGTTTAATATAAATAGATGTTTGAACAATTTTTATTATTTTATAATAAAAAAATCTAACTCCTGCTTTACGAGAATCGTATGTTAAAAGTCAATTTTTGAAAAAAGAACAGTAAATAGAATATTAACCAATTTTTATTGCAATAAAAATCTAAGTCCAGCCAGTACTTTACGGGATTCGTATGTCAAAATTCAAATTTTGAAATAAGAACAGCGAGTATCCGCGGCTGGTGCGGGTGTCGGCCCACTTCGACAAATTGCGCGGTAATACCACATCTGTATGCGAGACGCGGCCGCCTCTCGATATTAGAACGGAACTCGGCTCTTGTACGCCGCGCGCCGCCGTTGCTTCACTTGCTTTTTCTTTAGCTTCTAACTTGAGTCCGGAAACTGGGAATTCTCTATGATAAGTTTATTATTTATGTATATGTTTAAATTGTTTTGTATAAAGATGGTAAGGCAATCAAACATAGAGTACGCACTTATGGTAGTGATTGCAACATGTATATGTATCGGAATTATATATTAATGTTATCGCATTGTAATATCCAACTTTTAAGCTAGAATGCAACATTTAAGAATACCTATTTAGGTGACACTAGTGATCCTCGGAGAATTTTATTTTATATAATTGGAATGGTAAATAAGCTATAGCCCACCCAGTAAGTGTTAACCGGCATATGCCTCATACACAAGAACCACCGCGGACATCATGTCATACAGTATCGCACATGCGTTAGCATTCCTGAGTACTAAAAAGTCATTCCAACTTGTCCCTATAATGTCACTGCCATATTTAAGCTAGTCTAAAGTTTAGATATGTCAGTCAGGTTAGATACCGAAATACATCTCACAATGGGAAGCTGCTCGGCAGCTAAAATATGACAGAGATGAAATAACCTGATGTTCTTTTTATGCAGTCGACTTTGTATAAAGTAGAAAAGCAAAAGATATCCGTGTACTATATATATCCTTGTTTCGTTATAAATCACAAAATCGTAAAAGCCAAATTAAATCCATATTCGTTTACACCATACAACGTTTCATACGTAACCAAGCGACGGGGATATTGCGCGCCGTGTTTGCACCCCGTGGAAATTTTTAATAAAAACACCTTCTACAAAGGGGCGTTCGTAAATTTGTCGAATGAAATATGTCGTTTATCAGGCCTGATGATCGTTGATGCGCGCCATATAAAGTCGAAGTGTTTCTCATTACACGCCACCAACTGTTCGTTCATTGAT